AAAAACAAGTTCCTGTCATGCATAACATAGAAGCAACTCATACATGTTTACACAACGGAATAATTTAATTAACAAAACCAATGTTATAATATTTTTAAAATCATCAGGGATTAACACCTGGAAAATATCAACATCATATTATAACAAACATAAGGAAATAAACGAGTCTGACTAAAACAGCTCGACAAACAAACGTTCCCGGAGTTACAACTACCAGAGCATGACCCGGACAATACTTAAACAGAAATAAACTAGAAACAACAAGCCTTAACCAAGCACCTGAACGAAGCTCCTCAATCTGAAATATTCAACAGTAAGGGTGAGCATCTCAACTATACATTTGATTATACGTTCATAACAATAAATTCAGAAAATCATAAGCATCACCCAAACAGTTAGCATGTTTCATAGTTTACGAAAACCTTTACAATTCATATATTCATAATATATCACTTTTCATACTTATAATTAACATCCAACATCATTAACAATTTAGCAGCAATACATGCATACAATCAATTAAATACAACATTGGAAGGTCATCCATTCATGTTATATTCAATATAATGCAACACACCCATGCATGTGGTACCATTTTACCGCCCCATTAAATCTCGGGTCACGGATAACTCACCGTTCCATTATATCGCGGACACGGCTACCACCTCAACGTTCCATTAAATCGCGGACACGTATATTGGCCACCATGTTAATTCCACACAATGGGAATTAACAAATGCAACATGATATGTAAAGTATGTAACACTCAGCATACTATTAACATCAATCAACATATCATGCAACATCAACAACATCAATCATAACAGGATATGGATAGCATGTAATCACTCAGCATACTATTAAACATCAATCATATCAAGTTATATCATAATTCATGCTTGATACATCATCTAAAAGCATGACAATAAAATCCATATAGTGTTGGTATCATAACATACAATCGTTATTCGATACAAGCATCAATCAACACTAGGAAATCAATAAACACATATTCAAAACATGTCAAACACTGCACATCAAAACAGGATCTATCCGTACATAACAGCATGCACAGAAAACAGAGTTTAGAAACCAACACAGGAGGTTTAACACGGGTGCCCGTGTAAATCAACACTGCCCGTGTGGAAATGTGCCCAGAAAACACGTTATTTTGGCAATACAGGGGATCAACACGGGTGCCCGTGTGAATCAACACGGCCCGTGTTGAAATGTGTCTGGAAACACATTTTTCTGCCAACACAGTGAATCAACACGGGTGCCCGTGTGAATCAACACTGCCCGTGTGAATCAACACGGGTGCCCGCGTAAATCAACGCGGCCGTGTTGATGAGCGCGTACCAAATTTTTCCTGTTCCTGCAGCAGTTCAGAACAGCAGCCAAACGCGAAAAATGTCAGCCAAAACGCACATTTCGGTACATAACAACATCAATTATGCATAACCCAAAGCAACACATCAATTGGAAGCACCATCCCCTTCTACGTTAGTCAATTTCCCATCTTAAGGACAACATTATTTCACCTAAGGTCTCATTTTCCAAAATCAATCAAAACTCAGAATTTTCATTTTTAAAACATCCTATTTTATCAACAATCCTTTTATCAACATGGCTTTATGCAACATGTAACAATCCTTTTCTTATTCCAAGCTCTTGGAGCTTGTTTCAATCCATACATGGCTTTATGCAACATGTACATATTTCTCTCTATACCATGCTTCACAAACCCAACTGTTTATGCAACATAAACTTCTTCGTCTAAGGGTCCATTCAGGAATGCACACTTCACGTTCATCTGACATATGTGCCAAATGTTCATTTATGCTTGACCAACAACAAACCTGATTGTTTTTATTCTAGCCATAGGTGCTAAAACCTCATCGAAGTCGATTCCTTCTTTCTGAAGAAATCCTTTCGCCACAAGCCTTGCCTTGTGTCGAGTTACTTCCCCTTTGGAATTCAACTTCACCTTGTATACCCACTTAACATTGATTTCCTTCTTTCCTTGAGTTAATTCAAAAAGTGACCAAGTGTTGTTGTCTTCGATGGAATCCACTTCTTCATTCACTGCTTTCACCCACTTTGAATCTTTCAATGCTTCAGTTTCATTGACTGATTTGACATCTGCATAGAAAGTATAATGTACCAGCTCACCTTCATTATCGACCACATCATCTAATGTAATAACACAATCTTGCCACATTTCATGCACGTGTCTTGTTCTCTGAGGTCTTCTTGATCCTGGTTGATCTATAAATTCCTCTTGTCGAACTTCTCTTTTGACTTTAACTGTCGATTCTTTGAACTATCGCCTCTTATTCTTTTAAAATGTCTTCTTCAAGCGGTTCTAATCCATATTTCATAAGATCCCAAAGATCTTGACAATAAAACACAATCTTCATCTACTTGTACCAATTCTCATAGTTAACAACTTTAAGATTTGGAAGACTTACAGGAAAATGCTTGTTTGGATGATTCATTGTCATCGTGATTTTCTTCTTCTTCCCTTGATCGCTCAACCGGAGCTCTTGATACCAGATGTTAAAAATACATAAATTCTTATAATGAATTTCTATCAATCTTGATGAACAAGGTTGTTATCACCATACAATGACAATGAAAAGAAAATAAAATTAAAGAAGAAAAGAGATTTAGGGTTTTTGCAGAGTTTCTCTCTGCCCACAAACTGTGGAAAACTTTCTTATTCACATGCAACTACAAATTCTGTGAATATTCAATATGATACAAAATAGGAGTTTCTCCCACTATTTATAATGAGCTAACTTGATCCCTAAGCTAAAAAGCTCAAAACCATAAACGTCCAAAATAACTATTTTAGACCTAAATCAAGATGTGTGAAGCAACTGCTTTGACACAACTCGACACACTTACACAAGACTAAGTTTCGACACACCTTGTATCGAGGAACATGCTACTTCGACACAAGGAATTACTCATTCAACATACACATTACCCATGGGTTGAGTTTAAAACGATATGTAAAGTGGCACATTTTTTATGATTCTCTTTGTTACCTCGCATTTGAAATTGAGGTAACACCTCATATTTAATCGAGATTAAATATGTTTTTTATTGTTGAGACTAGAAACCCTAGAGGTTTAATCTTGTTGTTGTTATTGTTGTTATTTAAACAAATTTATGTTATAGGTTTATTGATGATGTCGTTGTAGTTTTTTTGAGAGATTGTTAGTTGTTGTTTAATGCGAGTTGTTGCTTTTTAGTTGTTGATGTTATTGTTTGGTTGTTTTGTTGTTATACTACACAAAGTTATGAAAATCTACATATTATAGTTTAGTTGTTGTTAGTGAGTTTGAGTTTGAGATTGAGATTGATATTGAGATTATGTTTTTGTGATTTTTTGTCCACCTCTCATCTTGTTCTGTCGAGTTGAGTTTATTATATCTAATATCGATTGTTTATTTCACTAACCCTTATTTGAACATATAATTTATTAAATTGATTTTAGAAATAATCATATGAAAGATTATGTTTGAAATATATCTTACACTGATTAATGTTTTTTTAGCATTCTACAATTCATCATTCATCTCGTGTACTTTTATGGTTAAAATCTCTCCAATACTTCTAGTTTTCGTTCATTTTTCTTTCATATTTGTTTATTTTTTAAAGCATCAAATTTTATGTTTTTCAAGAATGAGTTATTAAAAAAAGAAAGTGTTAAATAAAGAACTCGAGATGTTGAAGAGATTTTAACCTTTAAAGAATGTCAGATGAATGATGAATTATAGGATGTTCTAAAATCATTGATTAGTGTAAGTTGTTCTTCAAATATAACACAATTGTTCATATAATTATTTTCCAAGTTATATGTTAAGTTATAGTTTAGTGAAATAAGCAAACTACATTAGATATAATAAGCTCAATCGTGTTTTATCCGTCAGCGGAATGTCAAAACCAAGGTGAAAGGTGTTATACCCGTCGGTGAAATGTCAAATCTGAGGCAAAAGGTGATTTCGCCATTTAAAAATTTCAAAAAGTATCTCCCTTAGAATCGAACTCATGACCTTTACACATTACCCATCGGTTGAGTTAAAACCGATATGTAAAGTGACACATTTTTTATGATATCCTTCGTTACCTCGCATTTGAAACTGAGGTAACACCTCATATTCAATCGAGATTAAATATGTTTTTTATAGTAGTGCTAATACCAATATTTTGGTTTGCATGTGAGTGGGGATAAACATGCATGTGATTGTCTGCATTCATCTTCGTTACTCGTATTTCTAATAAAAATAAATAAATAAATAATAAAATATTATATAATTTTAAATTTTTAACATTAAAAATATTTTTAAAGGTTTTATTATTGAGTTATGAAATAATCATTTAAATTAAAATGTGCAATAGTCTTAATAGTTTAATAGTGATGTATTTTTAAAAATCAATAGATATATATTTTTTCATAATATAAATTAAAATATATAAATGTATATTATGCGAGCATGAGACGGAGTAATATCTATATCTATCCATTCTAGTGGATAATTATTCGTGCTAATGTCTGTGCCATTTTGAATGTTTGCAAGTATTTTTATTCCAGCTTCTTTTTATATAATTTTAGTTTGTCAGTGGAACGTCCCAAATAGTTGAAAGCATAGGTGGATGCAGAGTCTCTGGCGCTGATATTTGAACTAAACTTTCGTTTCTTTATAATAATAAACAGAAGAATCTACCTATTATTCTGTTGTTTTCTCTTGTTATCACAAAAATCCAACGTTTGTACATTTTTCAAACCAAATCCCCAACGGTCCAATTTCACGTGAACGCCGCTAAGAATAAACAAAACTATAATCGGACAGTAACTAACGTGCAATGACACGATGAGGACAAGGATTTTGTCCAACGCAAGAGATTTCAAACTTACAATATAAACAAACGTTCACAACTCTATCTCTATTCTATTTCTATGTTACAACACAACACTGAAAATTTATCAAATGGGGAATTGTTCTTTCAAAGGTACAACTGGAGAATGCCATCACCCTATCAGAATTCTAACAGACACTGGTTCTATTTTACAGTTCAAAGGTCCTAAAACAGTTGCTCAAATCCTGGAAAGCTACCGAGGTTATGGTGTCTTTCGCCAAGGCCATGCGTCTTGGCCGTTACAAGAGAAAGAGAGTTTAAGCTATGGTTTTCTCTATTATCTTCTTCCACTGAAGGATAATGGCCAAAAAGCTGGGAGTGATGAAAGAGTAAAGAACTCGGTGCGCGTTTCAGCGTGTGATTATATGGAGAATAGTGGTCCTGCTGTTGAAGTGTTGCCATATTCAGTTAAGAATGGTGTGTGGAAGGTGAAGTTGGTGATTGATACAAGACATTTAGAAGAAATTTTGTCAGAACAAGTGAATACTGGAGCATTGATTGAGAAGATGAGAATGGCTGCAACTGCATATTCTACTAGTAGTCCTACAAGGAGCAGAACCATGAGTGCTTGGAAAGTGGGATGGAAACCAACTTTGTTTGGAAAGATTACGAAAAATGCTGTTGTTGCTGCTGCTGAAGGATCAATTTTAGATTTGGATTCTTGTTAAGAAAAGTTTCTAGTTTATGTTCAAGATTTCAAGAAGGAAATTTGAGTATGTTAAATTGTAAGTGTTAGGTTTTCCCTAACTACAAGGTCCATAGAGGACTTGATCAAATATGTTGAGAAATTATAGGTCTCATTTGTGAATATATTTGGATAACTAGTCCAAATATTGATGATCTATGCAATTAATGCCAAGTGTTATTGGACACTTTTCAGCGTGACTCTAATTCTTTATTCTTGTTGTGAATGCCTTATAAAACTAAATGACCTAACAACAAATAATAAAATAAAAGATAAATAGAAAATTAAATTGCAAACAATGTCTAATATTTGTTTATACATTTCGATGAAATGTACTTATGTCTATGATTATACAGTAGAATGAAGTTTTGTATTATTAGTTGAATGAATTAAAGTTTCAGTATTTTATATATATATATATATATATATATATATATATATATATATATATATATATATATATATATATATATATATATATATATATATATATATATATATATATATATATATATATATATATATATATATATATATATATATATATATATATATATATATATATATATATATATATATATATATATATATATATATATATCGCTTATAAGTGTATAATTTGAGAGTATATAATATGAGAGTGGTATAGTATTTAAATAGATTAGTGTAATAAAATTCTATAATACATGAGGTAAGTAGATAAGTTATAAGTGTAATAGTGTTAGTAGTGTTTGTAGATAAGTCAAGTGTAATAGTGTATAATAAATGTACTAAGTAGATATAGTAGTACGTAAGAGTAATGATAAATGGTATAAGTGTAATAGGTGTAACAAAAAATGTGTTAATAATATAGAAAGGAATTTTAAGCCTTTGATAAAGTAGATAAGTCATCTTTTATGATAATAATCATGGTGTAAAATGTAGAGATTTGTTGAAGAGTTAAGTCTTTTTGAAATTTCAAGAAAGAATGATATGTAGTCCTATTACTATTTTTAATATGTAAATTAACGGATTATAATTCTTTTTCTAAATCTGAAATAATTCTTCTATATTCTTTTAAATTTGTTCTTTCTTTGGGTAAGTCCATATTATCAGAGTTATTCGCAAGGAAATATTTATTTTAATGAAGATATTTTTAATTTGTTTTGTAACACCCCACACATACATTGCCTAGGATATATGCATATGTTATAAATACGGTACACAAAACATTCATACATAAGCAACAAAATAAGAATAAGTATTAGTTCCAGTTATAAATTGCTGAAACTGTCATAGCCAAAACAATACAAATCCCATAAGTACTGATAGATAATCTCGAGGGTACAAAACAGAATGATAAAGAACAACAAAACGTCGCCAGGAAACACCATCGACAAGCTAAGTCATCTTACCCTTGTCGCAATCCTTCCTCAAAGAACCTGAAAAATAATAATAAATTAGAATAGAGTGAGATTACTAAATCTCAATGACTCTCCCTATCTCAAGGGTTCACTCAGTTCTACAGGGTTCATGCATCATAACAGATTTGCCGTGAATCTGAGTTTTATCTCACAGCCAGTTACAAGTACACAATCAGGTACACCATCATTGGTAGTCCCATAACTAACCAATAAGAAAAAAACACAAGTACATAGCCAAATACGAACCAATATGCAAACTCGTACTCGTGTACGAGGAATCTAGAAGTAATTTCTACCTTCCTATCTAGGTTACGCATTTCACACCCTCGGTGAGTTACTCTCGTGCATCGCATCAAGAGACGTGTACTAGCACACTGCATGATGGGACAAATTCTAAGTAGAATTTCATCTGTGACAAGTTACAGTGGTGACATTTCCTATGTGGCGTCACGGCCTCGTCAATCATCAAAACGCACGTGTGAGCAAACACATCAAGCACAGTACAAAGACTCCATCTTGACAACACGACCCACCGGGAAAAAGCCTAGTGACATTGCCTACGTGGCACCACTAGAGACGAGTTCCCGACATGATATAGCCTATATGGCATCACGCCCTCGCCATACCAAGCACGACGGCATTTACGCCCGTTAGAAACGCCCTTTCAGACCCACTCGAGACACATCACAATGGTAGCTCAGGTGTGTATGACTTACCAAGAACATCGATAGGATCCAACACCCATTGCATCAGTAATAAATGTCATAAGCGCTTTACACCTTCTAGTCTAGGTATACTTCGATTCAAGCATATGTCAACACAATCATATCAAGCCACCAAGGCAAATCCATCCAAACATTCAACTGATAGGAACGAGAATCAAGCAAATGATTATAACATGGAATTTATCATACAATGTGATCTGAATCATAATCATACGTGTTCATATCATAAGAAAATAATGATTACACAAGGTTATACTCATGATGCAATTCAACTACAAACAACCACAAGGATCAAGGAGGCGCCCGGTACTCACTAAGGTATGGGACTGCACTCAAAGGATTACAATAACATAGTTTTGTCCAGGAGGGCACGCTAAGTGGAGCCTCCAGTGCTAAGTGCGCTCTGCAAAATAATTAAATTTCAAGTCCTAAGAGGGCACGCTAAGAGGCGTCATTGCGCTAAGTGTGGTCTACGAATTTCCAAAATTCAATTTTCAAGAGGGTGCGCTGAGTGTGACCCCGCACGCTAAGCGCGGTCTACAAAATTCAGAAAAACCATAACGATATCAGTTCTATTTTTAGATTCCAAATCCCATTTTCACCTTCAATCTCAGTTATCCACCACAAATAGATATGAAATAAAGTTCATTGTCATGATATTCATCAATTAGAAACAACATGAATCAATATTTTTCACTCAAATCTCTAAAACCCCAAGCATGTCATAAACCCCATTTTCCCAAGTGACTATCTAAGAGACTCACCTTGATTAGAGGATGAGAGGACTGTGAAAATCATAAGCAAAGATGATGAGGATGGATAATCTTGAGTTTCATGCAAGGAAGAATGAGGGTTTGGGAGTTGAGCTTCTTCTCCTTCTTTTCACGTTCTCCTTCTCTCTTCTATATCTCTATTTTCTGATTTGTTTGGAAATAAGGGAACGAGTCAAGACCAAACAACCCCTAATTATAACTTAAGTGGCCAAAGACTATAATATCATTCATTGCTCTATTTTAATTCAATATAAATCCAATTAAGTATTATGTATTAATTCTCTAATAATCATTACTAAACATAATTTAGCAATATCATTAGGAATTAATCATAATACGAGATATTACATGTTTTATTACCATCATCGTCGAAATTTATATCATTGTCTGGATTTGTTTGTGTATTTCCAAAGTTTCTAAAATTTATAATACATCTATGGTCAACTTTTTGGTGATTTCTCATTCTATAATGAACCTGAGAATGATTTCCATAAAAATGTCCTTTAAAACTATATAAGTAATAAGAATTATAGGTATGCGTGTTTAATTCATGAATTAGACACTTTAATTCATGTTGTTCCATATCTTTTTCTTATGTTGCTGGTAAATCTTCAATTATTTTTTCTTGAAAATGAATTTTTTTTAATTTTTTCAATATAATCTTGATTAAATCCGGATAAAGAAATTTTTGGAGTAAATAAGCTATCTTTGTATCCAAATTTTGGATAAAAATTAATTCTGATAATTTTTTGTCTGAATTTGGTTCTGAATAATCAATTACAAAATAATTTGAAAAGTACCTATGAGTTGTAAAATTTGAATTTTCTTTGTTTGGTTCCTTATTAAAATTATTTCAAAAATGTGTTTTGTAAAAAGATTTGATTTTAAATCTTATTCCTTCTTCCTATTGCTAGTTTCTTCGAGTACTATGATTTCTTAGTGGCTTTATCTTAATAATTTTAGCTTATTTTTATGATTATTGAATAGTCCATATTTAAGCTAGAACATCACCTTTTCATCCCTCACTTACTACCACAAAGTTCTTCTAGATACTTCTCTGTGTTTATGACCTAAGATCTAAGAATCTCCTCTCAGTGGTACTATTTTTTCCTCTTGGTACTTACTTCCTTAACAGGTTCTTTCTTAGATTAATGATCACATTCAGTTCAAGCAGGATTTATGTCTTTTGATTCTGGGTTAAACATAAATTAACAATAATCATAAACATAAACATAGATTATTAAGATTAAGCTACTAAAAATCATACCTCTTAGAAGCAATAAGGAAGTCGGAATAAGGAATTTAATGTGTAAGTGGAAATTTATAGTAAGGTGTATTAAAAAGCATTTTTATTGATTGCATTTTTTTTTGTGCGTGTTACAAAAATGATGAGAATTTCCTTTTATAGGTGAAGGGGAAGTCTCTAGAAACAATACATTATTGTCTTTACAATACGAAAAGATAAAGCATTATTTGCTAACCTTATCTAAAGCACTATTTGCAAACAAGAAACTTTGTCTAACAATAATGTATATGATAAAAAGTTGAAAGGGACAAGCCCCATTTCATAGCCTTGTGAGTCAGGATTACCCTTACATATCTTAGAAAGATCGAGTAACTATTCCCTTAATGCTTGTCTTTTTTCGCCTTTTTCTTGTCGGTAATAATTTCTTTAATTTTACGTCATTAGTGACGTATATTTTTTTCAATTTACACAATTAATAGATTATCTTGTGAAGATTCTGATGATCCTGATCTTTTTCCCTAAGAAATGCTTCTTCTCCTGTATGCCTCTTACTAATTTTAGCCTTTAATGTTTTACTTCAAAAGGGAAAAATAATATTTTTTATAATATTGGAGTTACAATAAATTTTTCATGTTTTGTCTTCTCTTAGGAGATTTTTTGTCATCTATTTTTTAGTTGGACCAACCAAAGTCTTTAGAAATTATTTTGGCTCTGGCAATTTCTACTTGTTGTGGGAGATCTTCTAAGTGTAAGGTCTTTGTACCCTAATTTTGCACTTGAAATTCTTCAAATTCAGTATCCATATTCTTGAAATATAAAAAAATAAATGATAACTT